AAAATGTGTATAGTTAAAAAATGAACCGTTGCGTTTTGAGGAAATTGGATGTTACCATTAAATTCTAAACGTATTAAAACCTAGGAAATAAATTTAAAATTACAAAAAAACTGGAAAAATAAGGTAAAAAAGTAATGCATACAATTAATGGAAAAAATGAGTGGAAAAAATTTAATAATTAAAAGTCAATTTTTATGAAAAATGGAATTTAACATTAAATTCTGCACATTTTAAAACACAGGAAACAATTTTACAAAATGAAAAAAAATAAAAATAAAAGGTAAAAAAAGGGCCTTAATAAAAAAAAAATGGTTTTTCCGCGTTTACACACGGTTCTGCTGCGGCACAGCACACGCGGTTTCCTTAAACACGGTTTCGTAATTAATTTTTTATGGGTTATTTTTTGAGTTTTTTTTGAATTTTTAAAGTTGTTTCCTACACTATAAGAGGTGTAGAATTTAATGGTAAAACCACTTTGCATAAAAATGAATTTTAATTAGGGACTTAATAAAAAAACACGGTGTTGCTGCGGCACAGCGCACGCGGTTTCCGCATTTAGACACAGTTTTGTAATTAATTTTTTACCACTTGTTTTTTGAGTTTTTTTGAATTTTTAAAATTGTTTCCTAGGTTTCCAAGCGCGTAGGATTTAATGGTAAAAACCATTTTCCATAAAAATGAATTTTAATTATTAATTATTTTTTGGGGATTAATAAACGTACCCCCCTTTTCTGCTATCCACACCCGGTTTTTCACACCTGGTTTTCTGCTTCTACACCCGGGTTTCCCCAGCCTTTTTAATTCATTTTTTGGCAATTCTGAATATGCTAAAAATCTTCTAAAATTGATCATTCTTTTTGGGTATATAAAAAATCCTCAAAAGAGAACTTCAATTTTTTTTATTTTTCTCACCCATTTTTTCCCAATTTTTTTTGACCCTATGAACTCTTGAAAACTTGGATTAAAGCCAAAAATTATGATTACTTTTCAAGTTTTTAATTTTTCTTCTCCATACAGATGGTACCATTCAAGATATTCCTTATTTTGTCCATTTGCTTATAGCTCAAAACCAACAACATTGGGATTTCCAAAATGAAATCAAATTTGGTCCTTTATAGATTTCCCAAAGATTGGGCAATATCAATGATAAATTTAAATGTACTTTGAATTCTCAAAAACTCATAGGCAGAAAAAAAAACTTGATGAATCAGATAAATTAAAATTAAAATTAAAATTAAAATGTCTCTTTTGAGGATTTTTTATATACCCAAAAAGAATGATCAATTTTAGAAGATTTTTAGCATATTCAGAATCTTCAAAAAATGAATTAAAAAGGCTGGGTAAAACCGGGTGTAGAAGCAGAAAACCAGGTGTGAAAAACCGGGTGTGTATAGCAGAAATGTTTGTACCCTATTTTTTATGTTTTTTTGAAGTTTTAAAGTTTTGTGCTACATTATAAAGTGTGTAGAATTTTATGTTGAATTCGAATTTTTATAAAAATGAATGGTTCATTTTTAATACTGAAATTAGACACATTTTTTCACTTAAATTTCTACAGGTTAATTTTCATTCTTTTTTGACATTTCAAATTTTCTTCCTACATTTTAAGACATGTGAAAAATTATGGTATCAACCATTTTTCCCCAAAATGAAAACTATACCTTGAATGCTGCATTTGACATGTATTTTTAATTAATTCATCACTTTTTCACTTAATTGCTTGCATACATGTGTGTACCTTATTTTTTGTGCTTTTTGGAAGTTTTAAAGTTTCTTCCTACATTTACAAGTATTTAGAATTTAATGGTAACATCCAAATTTCTTAAAACTCAACGGTTCATTTTTAATACTGAAACTAGACACTTTTTTCAATTAATTCTTTACATGTTATTTCACAACATTTTTTGACATTTTAAGTTTATTTCCCACACTTTAATACATGATCAAAATGATGTTAACAACCATCTACATAAAAATCACTGCTTGTTACTGAATACTGCGTTGGACAGGTTTTTTTTAATGTTTTTTTGATTGATTTTTACCGGCCTGATTTTAAGCATTTTTTGAAATTTTAAATTTATTTCCTACATTTAAAAATGTGTAGAATTGTATGTTGAAGTCCAATTTCACTAAAAATACAAGCTTCAATCTTAATAGATGAGTGTACCCCATTTCTTGCATAATTTGTACCATATACAAATTTTATTCCAAAAAATAAGGATAATTGAGCATGTAAGAATAAATTTGGGAAACACGTCAAAGGCATTATTCAAGACATAGTTTTCATTTTGATGAAAATTCATAGTTACCATAGACATGCTGAAAATTATTGGAGTAACCATACTGTGTACAAACCAAAACTCTTTCTTGGACATTTATTTAATTTTTACAGGCTTATATTTCATTATTTTTAAGAATTTTGAATTTATTTCCTATATTTTGAAAGGATTCATAATTGATGGTTACATCAGTTTTGCATGAAAATAAAATTTGTCTAAAGTTAAAATTATGTAAGAAACAGGGTAAGCTGATATATTAAAATTGAAACTTTGATCTTTGCATAAAATGAATAATACCTTAAAACTTTACCATAGGGGGTATAAAATATAGGAAATCCACCATGAGAAACCAGTCACTTTTCTCAAAAAATATTCTTGCTTCAATGGGCCCCAAAAGGGGTTAAATGAAGAACCAGCATGCTTAAAGAAGGGTGGATTTCTTCAAACCAGTCAATTTAATGATGGTGGATTTGGTTATAATTGATACCCCCTAATGTAGAAGATATATTTAAAATTTCAAAAAAATGATGAACATTAAGCCTGCAAAATTAATTAATTGCATACAAATGAAATTGGTATATGGTACAAATTATGTAAGAAGCCAGGTAAGCTCATATTAAGATTGAAGCTTTGATTTTTGGGTAAAATGAATGATACCATCATTTTTTTAAACCTTTGAAAATGTAGGAAATACATTTAAAATTCCAAAAAATAATGCCAATTAAGCATGTAAGAATTAACTAAAAAAACATGTTAGATGCAATATTCAAGACCAATTTTAATTTTGATGCAAAATGATTGTTATCATGATTTTCTAGATGTTTGAAAGTGTAGGAAAGAAATTTAAAATGTCAAAAAATAATAAAATTAAGGCCCATTTTCTATGTTTTGTTGAAAATTTAAAATTTATATCCTAGGTTTTAATAATATGCTTAGAATTTAGTGAAATAATTCATTTTTTTTAAAAATCAACCAATCACTTTGAAAATTGCAATTAAACACATTTGTTCAATGAATTTCTTACAGCTTATTTCTCCATCTTTTTTGACATTTTAAATTTGTTTCCTACACTTTAAGACATGCAAAAAATTGTGTTATTGGTAATTTTGCACCAAAATAAAAAAAAATTCTTCAATATTGCATACTTGTCTAAAAGTGTACGGGAAAGAATTCCAATGCCCAGATATATTGAGAGATAAGCTGTAAGAAATTAATTAACAAAATGGGTCTGATTGCATTATTAAAAATGATATGTTGATTCTTATGGAGAATGGGATTTACCATATAATTCTCAGCACTTTATAGTGTGGGAAACAAATTTTAAATTTTGAAATAACATCAAAAATAAGTGGGAAAAAATTAATACAAGAAAATGCGTCTGAACGCAACAACATTGTGTGCTCTAAAGGCAGAAAGGAAAGACCCACATTTTTTACTAAAGCCCTTTTTTATGATGTGTTTTTGATCTATGAAAGGGTTTTTCTACCACTAAAAACAACAAACAAAAAGCCAAAAACACAAGATGTTTGTAGGCATATTATAATTTTGCAATTTATGCCTGAAAACAATTTGATCATTCAAAACAGGGTGCAATACAATTCAAAATAATTCAATCAATGAGGTGGTTCATTTCAATATCTTCATCATGGTAAGTGTTTTCAAGATTGTCTTCCATAATCTCATCTTGCTGATCCTCCTGACTTCCAAAATCAAAAACAACTGAAGATCCTACTACTAGTTTTTCCCATATGCATCTACATTGCGAGATCAAATTTGACCATTCTTCGCCAAAGTTTCTATTGGTTTGGCTATCATCGAGGTATTTTTGACTCCAGTCTAGAAGTTGGATGCAGTGAGAGTTCCAAGTCATCCAAACCCTGCAGTGACTTTTAGCCAGATTGCAGTTGTCAGCGCCGGTCTCTAGAGTGACTAGGCGTTGATGGGGTGGCAAGGGTCTTACTATAACTTTCGAGTGAAAGCCAGTAGAACTAGAACCTCACCTCGACGCTAGTAAGCGGAGGGGTTAAGCACCCTTAGTAAGGGGACGTACGCGGTATGAGCGTCGCGTCGCCGGGCTTAGAGCTAAGTAGTCTCTCTTCTAGGCTACTGTAGTGACTTTACAGTAGTCTAGGAAGGTTGGTACGGAATAGAAGATAAAGGGGAAGGTTTTTTAGAAGGTTATAGTAGTAGATTGTAAACCCCACTCACAGTTTGTATTGTAAGGTGGACGGGTTTGTATGGTAATCTCTGGGGGGAGGATTCTTGGGAAGAAGACCTCCCCCTTAAGTATTACAAAGGCAGGGGTCAGCCTGCCTGTGAGACCGGTGAGGCCTGCAGAGGATCATTTATGTATATAATCATAAATGATCAAAATATGCATTTAAATTAAGTTTTAAACCAAAAGTGGAGGGAATGATGTCATTCAAGCTCAAAGGAGAAAGAATGATGTCATCTCTCTAATTACAGAGTATAGAGAGATGATTAAGATTTCAAATTGTATGTATATAAAATATGAATATTAATACAGAGGTGAATACTTAAGTAATTCCGTGGAATTACTTAAAGCATAAAAGTATAAAAAATAAAATAATAAAAATATAAGATTACATAATTGGGATTTGAACCCAAGTGTGTTGGTGAGGCAAAGTCATAACACAGTCCTTAACCAATAAACTACAGTACATGTGTTTGTTGGTTAAGTATAGGTTGTAGACACATGGGCTACAGCCTCAGTGTCTGACAGCAGTACACTGATTCTAGGACTTCTCTGGGAAAGTTGTTCTTGGTGCAGATATTGATTAAGAGGTCTTGACCATGAGGGTTCTCAATATTTGTTTGCTGGTCTGAGTTCAAGAATCAAATTAGCAATAGATCTACTCAGAAAGTAACAACCACAGTTCAGCAAGCTGACCTCTGTGCAACAGTTTTGAGATTATATCCAAACATTTAAATTTTTCAACAGCCCACTTGATCGCCTGCCTAGCCTCTCGGGAAATCCTGTGCAGCTCGTCGTTGCAGTGTGTAGACATCAGAATGGCTTCAATTCCTTCCTTTATGGTTGAATTGATGGCCCACGGTTCGTTTGGGTGTGATAAGGACCCCATATTCCAGAATGGATCATCCAAGCCCATTGATCTGACGTCTTCAAAAACGGGTGTGGCCACCGAGATGTTGGTGCTATGGTTTTCATTGTAATTCAAGGCTTTTTGGTTGTACGAGGTCCACTTGCTCTTCAGATGCTTCATCTTGGAGCTCATCAGTTTTTTGAACCTTGCTTGCATTCGTGTTCCTGATAAATTATTGGTGGATTTTAGATGATTTGTGAATTTCAAATGTGACACAGAGAAAAAGCTTACCTGATCCCCTTTGATCCCATCTCCTCTGAACTTCACAAACTCCAACTTTGGCCTCGTAAAGCTTAGACTTGCTTATTTTCAGTCTGATCAATGCTTTACTCTGAGCATCTAAGAGTCAAATACTCAATTGTTTTTGGGTTAGTGATTATATGTGGTGTGAATTTTTCAGAGTCTGACTCACCTGAGGCACCAGGCAGATTCCGAAAGGCTTCTGAACCGAGTTCATCCACCAATATTTCTATCTGTTCTTCTAATGATGTAACAGTGTTGGGAAGCAGTTCCAGTCTCTCTTGTTCTTCCTGGGTTCTTGTTCGTCTACGCTTGGCCCGGAGTAACTCAATCTCATCCCTGGATTAAATTCAGACATGTAAAATCATTATCTTCCTGTCATTACCAGTTCAAATTGAAAACAGAATGCTTACTGTGCATCTTGTAATTCATCTTCCAAATTAACCAGATCTCCTACAAGTTTAATCATTTCGCGTTCTGATTCTGTCTCCATCGCTTCCAGCTGACATTGCCTCTGACGGAGCCACTGTTCCGTCAAGTACTCAATTGTGAAATTGTGTTTCTCCTGAATTTCAGTCAACTTATTCATGGATTCAACTAAAAGTTTTTCAACATGTAGACCTCTGTCCAAAAGCCGCTTGACTAGCATAATTGATTATTCAAATCAGAATGGTAATTTTCTATATTTGTGAAATGGCTTGGATCAGATTCAAATGAGAAACATACCTGAACGAGTCTTTCCTACTTCATTGTGATGGGAAGATCTCATGTCTAATGCAGTGATTCGATGCTTCTTGCTTGAATATCTTAAAGGACTAATTAAAGGGGATAAATATGCCCATATTCTTTCCAGTCCCTCCCCATCGGACATACCCCATCCATCGTTTAGCCGAGGGTTGTACCGTAGTTGACATGTCCATTGATGTACATAGGCGTGAAAAACACTCGTTCCAAACATCAACAAGTTAGAGTTGCGCTGTTCACTAAATAAATCTCTCTATAATTTGCCATATTAGTGTTCAAATTGTATGATCAGAAAAGGGGGCTTTGTACCTTTATGATTCCTTTTTCAATATTACATCCTATGTCATACAAGAATCCAAGTTTTTTCTTAGTTGGTCCATTGTCGGTTGATTTTATGAGATTTTGTATCATTGACATTGGGTAATAGGCCCTAAATTTGGCCAGGGGATGATTAGTCATTTCAATGCATGGTTTTTATGTGTAGTACAATCAACTTTATACTTTTCTCCACTTTGCACTATGTTAATCAGCCTCAGAATTTGGTCATGCCTACATGCCAAACCAAATATTCCGGTATCATCACAAGCTTTCCATGTGGTCGACCCTCGTGAATCGTTGGCAGCAGTATGTTGCTCTGTACAGCGGTCCTACAATACACAATGTTCAGTGCCAAGGCAATTTGATTCACCTGAAGACTTGCAGGTTACCATACTCACCAAGTCGGGGTGCTCTTCAGCTTCATTTATTTGTATGTTCATACATGATTCCATATCCTCGACTTCCTCAGGAGATATGAACAGGCTGGTCTGGTTTGAAAATTCCGATAGCTCATGGCTTGCAGCCAGGTGTCGTCGATGTTGAAAGTTCCCGTCCATACAGACAATGTAATCCGGCTCTTCAGGTTTTTTTCCAGTGACAGGAGGCCCAAAGCACTTCGGGCATATTTCTGCCAACTTATCCATGGGTCCCATTTCCATAAGCTCTTCAGATACGACTTTTTCTCGTCTTAACATCTCCCTATACGCATCCACTGAAGCTGAGAGGGTTTTCCTCCATTCACGCACCTGTGTTTCCCAAGAAAAAATACCATTGGATTAATGTAGATGAAGTACTAACAGCTTTCATCCGACTCACAGTATATAATGGTCCTGATTCCGATGCAGTCTGAGATACAAGAACTAAGGGATTATTTGAATCCAGAAACTCATCTATTGCCTTGGAAAATGGGGTTATTGACACAGCACAGTTTTTCCCAGATTATGTCATGGAAACGAAGGAGTCGGATAGAGAAAGCGGGTCTGGGATACTTTGGGGATGTTCCGATGTAACCCATTTGTATGAGGCGGACCTGGTCTCCCTGGCAGCTACAGAATTCAACCTCGGTTTCTCTTCGGCCTATAAAAGATCACACCTCATATGAGAATTTATTTTGATGGTTTGAGTATGAAATCAACAAGATGAACACATACTCATAATGTCAACCAAGACAAGGGGCCGAAAGCGCTTATCCTGACAGAGACAAGGCTCCTTCCAGTCGTGTCTCCATTTGTCTTCGTCACCCCAGTCAGCGGTTTTTACTGCACATTGTTTGAAAGATGAAAACATCGCATCATACACCTCCGCCCAGTTCTTCTCTTCAAGTAGTTTTTTCCTCTTGTAATGCTCGCTCCGAAAGTAATCAGTTAGCTGCTGAATACGTGTGTCTGAGTGAGTAGTGTTGTCTGAATTGGTGAAATTGGTGTCATTTCCGGTGTAATCAGTGAAATGGTGGTCGTATGGATTGGAGTGATCTTGGTCAAAGTTGTCAAAGCCAGATCGGTCTGGGATGTGGTGGTCCAGATGGATTGTTGTTGCCTCCCCGCGAGTGGATAGTTGTTCTAGCTCCACTGCTTGTGAAAATGCGACCCCGGACGCTGTAGTCGGTTTCCGTTTTCGTTTGGGTTTTTTGCCTCCGCCCCCCTCAAACGGTGGCATCCTGGAGAAAAGAGAATGCTGTGTGTCAGTTTATGAATTTTGAGTCAGTCTGGATGAAGTGAAATAATGTTGCAGCTTAGCTGTGTTGTATGAGTTAAAAAAATGACATGCCAGCTGAACCAAGGATCCATGGCCGGTTTGACTCTCCGCCAAGCATTTGCTTGACAGCATCTCCACCGCGGTCCAAAAAACGCTGCCCAGGGTGGTCCTGAACCACACTGGCTTAAGCCATAGATTTACTCAGATTTAAACACATAATCTCAGCCCCCTTATTTCTGTCATGAGGTGTTCTCAGGCCATGAACTTAAAGATTTTGTTTCTGCATACTACAAGACCATTATCACCCACACATCAAGATTACCGCCATGCCCACCCAAGAATACAGTACCACATTGAAACCTCTGGGAACTCAGTGATCCAAGGAAGAAACTGATCAGTTATGGATATTTTCATAGTCACTCATGACATCCAAAGTAAATATTGGGATTTGTGGTTGGATTTTTGTCAGTCTAACCAAAGTGATTGACTAGTTGGTTACAATATAAGCATGAATCCCAAGAATTTGGCCAAAGTAATGCTTTAAAAGTGGATTATTATCAATCCACCCATTAGTATGTTCACTTGTACATATTACA